CCAAAGGAAAGAAAAAAATGCTCAGGGTTAAATAATAAATGCATTGCCATGTCTATGCGGCACATGTGTAACAATGAACAATTATACATATAGACAATGCGATTTACAAAATGCTTAACATACCACCGACAATTTTTGAATACGTTCAAAGCAGTATTTCATGACCATTGACATGTATTTCTCACAGGAAAAGACTTGTAGGCGACAGTCGCTTTGCGAACGGGAATTTTCTTGTCACACAACAGACAGTTAATAAGTCCGGCCTAATGACTCATAGTGAAAATCATGACAACATCACTGTGCCAGAAAAAGTCTTCAATGGATTTCCCAAAGTAGGTTTGGAAACTTGTTTTCCTTCTTTACATTCGAGGAAAATTGTGTACTCGCTTTAAGAAATAAAACCTATAAATCAGCACTTGGTCTGTCTATGTTCAAGGTACTTTTCGGGATTAAACTTTCAATTCAACATAAGGAACACATTTCTAGGATATTTCAAGTGTTTTATAACAGCGAATTTTCCCTCTGGACAAAAGACTTATCTGACCATTATAAATAGCACCTGGTTAAAGTTTATACAGTCTCTGTTGAGTAAAGAACGCTGATCCATATACACTGTACTATCATAGTCTCCGACTATCTTAAGTCTAATGCTGCTCAATGTCAAAGCTCCAGTCTGGTATCCAAACTACCGAGTCTCTTTCGCCCTCTCCCACGTTATGTAGAAGTGGGTAATCTTCAAGCAGATCATACGGTGGCAAAGCAGTCTCCACTGGCCAATTGACTCCTCCTCTGGCCAATGGATACTGCCTTGCCACCGCATGATCTGCTTGGAAATTAAAAATGGGAGCTTCAATTCGTCATAACGAAAGAGACATAATAAGGATAATAATAAGGATAATAATTTACAACTTTTCTACTCAGGAAAGCCCGTTTAAGAACAAACACTTCAATACTTGCAGTGTGGTGGGAAACGGTGGAATACTGAAGGGAAGCGGCTGTGGAAAAGAGATAGACGCATCTGAGTTTGTGTTCAGGTGAGGCACAATGATATGTACAAGTCGATTTAACAGTATATTTTCTTGAGAAATATCTTTATATATAACTTTATCTATAGTTCTGTGCCCAGTGTGCCCCTTTAAAGGCCTTGATGAAGAGTATTAGATGGTTGTGGTGACGATTTCCTTGTTTGAAATATTAGTTTTTACAATTTTTACATTTTTCCACAATCTGCTGTATAATGTTAATACATGAAGCAATGTAAGTTTTATTTCTTCTTTCTCATAACTTGCAGGTTCAACATGGCTCCAATGGGAGATAAATATTCCAGGGACATTGTAAATAAAACTAATCTCATCACCATAAACCCCTCTATGATAGACTACAGGTACTTTTGTATGTTTACCGAAGGAAAACATATTGTTTTTGCTCTGTTTCCTCTTCTTCTTCTTCTTCTCCAAACAAATAAGGTCAATGACCTGAACCAGACGTCTGTCACCATGGTAACTAGTGTTGGGTTACATCATGTTGCAATTTTATAGCAGTAGGGATTTAGACTCCTGTCTGGCCATTATATATGAATGTGTTTGAGTAAAAATTAACAAAGCATGCAAAGGTAAACATATGCATTTGCTTTGCCTTTCTAGTTTGATAGCAAATTCACTTGATTTTGTATGAAATTCAAATGTGGTTAGGGTATGTTGTGAGCTTTGTACATGAACATGTGAAAGATGACATCCTTAGCATAGCTTGCCATCTTTTATTTCATGTAGGTACACCAAGGGCAAGGGAAAAGGAATAGACGTTAAATCATTAACGCATGACCTATCCGCGTACAGAGACAGCTACCTCTGGATCTGGGCCCTTCTGTCCCAAAGTAACGCTAGAAGCGCCTTCAAAGTACAGGAAGCTCTACAAGGAGCCAGCGCCCGTAACCAGGTTAACGTTATCTTCCCGTATCCACTTGTGACAGGAGCAATTATATCATTTTGGAAAAAGCATATATCTGCTCAAAGGCCATCCTCAGGTAGACATCACAAGCTCTGCTATGAACTTTCATGATCATGATTCGATGATTAAATTTTGAATACGAATTTTCCTCATTTTCCGTTGTCTTAATTCATCTCTATATATCTGTTTTATTCTTGTGTTATCTCATCTATCTATCTGTTTAATTTTGTATTATCTATTAATTTTGCATCATCTCACGTGCATTTTTGGTGCCATTCATGTGTACGAATCTTGCTTTAATACTATTTTCCCTTTCTTTCATTCGTGATGATAGGACTGCTCCTGGCGAGTTTGGCTACACAGATGTGCGAGGAGGTGCGTCTGTACGGCTTCTGGCCCTTCCACGCCGACAGGAACAACAGACGCCTGACTCAGCACTACTACGGCAATGCCCTTCCCACGAAAGTTCACAAAATACCGCTTGAGCTCAGACAGCTACAGATACTACACAACAATGGAATTGTTCGTCTGACAACCCACCCATGTCAATAAGTGCTCAATAAGTGGACAGTGTCAATGGTATACATACTATGTATACCATGTAAAACTGAATACTGTTTAGAACAATACCTAGAACACTGTGACTTCGATCAGCGCTCCGCTATTAGTAAAATTAGAATCAGTGCCCACCCCTTGGAAATCGAAAAAGGGCGATATATGAAACTACCTGTGTCGAAGAGAATTTGTAAATATTGTTCTTCAAATGCAGTGGAAGACGAAATTCATTTCATCTCTAATTGTCCATTTTATGATGACATCAAAAAACAATTATTTACCACCGTGTCCAAAATGCTCCCTTACTTCCCCACCATTCCCTACTACAAAAAAACAATTTTACTGCTAAAATCAAAGAACCCACATATTATAGAAGAAGTGGGTAAATTCGTCTTCCATTGCCTAAAAAGAAGTCAAACCCAGTAAAACTATAGCTTGTACCATGTATGTTGTAGAGTATAGTATAATGTTACGGATGTAGATATAGTCTCACATAGCATTGTATTTTCTTTCTTTTGTTGTTTGTAACTGCAATTAGCCCTCGGGCATGTATTTGCAATAAACTTTCTATTATTGACACTGTCCACTTATTGAGCACACATGATACTAGCAGTAGACAGTTGAACTTTGTTCTAAATTATTTATTTGTGGGGTCGTGTAGCGGCAGCGTGCTCGACTCGGAACCAAGAGGTCCCGGATTCGAGTCCTGACGTGCCACCGATCTTGTGACTTTGGGAAAGGCACTTTACACGACATTCCTGAGTATTGTCTTATCCTGTATTCGAGCTCATCCTCTGTGTTGGTGGCATAAAATAAGTTGATATAATTTGAGTGTGCTGTTACAATATCTAGTCATGGAGTTGAATTGAGCTGGAGTTTATTTTTTTGGATTTTACAAGTCGAGATCTAGTGATTGAAGCATAACATTCCAGAAAATGTATTTGTAAGCAAATGGCTCCAAGACTCTTAAATTCTTTTGCAATAAAAATTGTATTTTTGTGAGATAGAATTTGTACACAAGCAGTGACTGAAGCTTTAACTTAAGTGACAGGAAATATATGTGTAACAAGTCATACTAAGCAGAAGGCCATGGCCAGGTATACAGTACCGGTAGTAAACTGTCAGAGAATTGGCAAGAGGACACCAAGCATCTAGGACACACAAGTGTTTGCTGTAATGTGGATACAAGGTACTGTAACTGTATATTGAAATTACATTCTTGAAATTCTTCAGCTGAAATTACAAAGTACAAATGTAGCTGGGGGCGTTCTTCGCACTATTGTGGGATTTTTCTGAAGAATCTTCACATCATCTAAAACCACGTTCTCAATCCCTGGGTCTGCAAACCTTGACTCTCTCTGCTGATGACATTCTTCAAGCTAGTAAGGCCATGTTGATTTGATTATATGGATGACATCCTCTGGGAACCCCAAAACTGATGCGCGCGTGCGAATAAAAAAAAGTTTTGCAAAAAAAAAGTTGCTTTCACTATAAAATCTACGTGGTCAAGAAGGTGGAACAAATGGCACAGAATATGTTATGGCGAATAATCTACTCTTCGAATTCATTTCTTTACATTTTTTCCTTTGATTTTGGCATTCTACGACATTGGTATCGTTTCTAAATGTTTTCCTTGCAACTAATGGTATATTTTGCCCATTTAGTAACTGTTTTGCACGATTTACAGTATGGTTGAAAACTTTTTTTGTTTTTTGGAAACGGCCGAAAATTCATGCGCGCGCGGATGTCATCCATATAATCAAATCAACATGGCCTTACATGAGGTGACTATTTCCAGGTGATTATTGGTGTACTTCCAATGAATCAGGGCAGTATACATGTAATTACTTACTCTTTACAATGAAAAACCGTTGCCATGGCAATTAGTTTTTTAATTGCCAGCCTTGTTTATGCTTAAAACTGTGCTCCCGTATGTTCCAGCAAGCAGGTTGCCGCCGGTTATCATTACTGTTTGTCACCTCCGCATATCATAAATTACCAGCCTTGACGCGCACGTTTAGTCGTGTCCTGCATCCTGCATAATGCGTCGGGAAGCTGTCGACTATAGCATACAACAAAGAGGCTTCCTCAATTCAGAGTGATACGTAGCTATAGCCGGCCATTAGGAGCGTTGTCACGATCATGTAGGCCCCCTTTGAAGTACTGAGGAGTTCATGCGAGCTGTAGCTAGCTAGTTTAACCGCCAGAACACGGAAGTGTTACAACTGATAATGCGTACTTGCTTTTCCAATCAACGAAAACAATGTGCCTTGCGTATAATTGTTGAGAACCCTCTTTCAGTACGTAGTACGAGTACAGTGCTTGTTAAGAAACAAAGCAACAGCGATTTCACCAAAAACTCGGTGTCCTATTGCCCATGGTTAACGTTACGTATACACTGTGGTACATCATGTAACTCTATACTTCACTCAAATGCATATCCACTTCCGTGTCAGAGGTGAGACTTTGGCAGCTTCAGTGCTGACAATAGTATGACGTAGCTAAGGTCAAAAGACAAGCTACACCTCAGTACATTAAATGCATTGATCGAGTCCGTGGCGAATCAGTGCTGAAACATCTCAGTTTTCTGTAAGATTGCTGTCTGATTTGGGCCTCGGGCAAACAGGTAAGAGTATCCAGCATTCACTACAATTTTCACGGGCAGTCTGCTGAGGAAAGTTTGCCACGTGCATGCATTGACATGCACGCTGCATAGCTGCACGTAGCATCACCGGCCCATAGTGCATGACGGAGAACCTCTAGAACCCCGTGTGCTATCGTGGCTACTAACTGCTTGAAAAGATAAGATTAGAACCGTGTGAGTGACAGGGGCTTTCTCTCACTGAATACTTCCTTCAGGGTTTCAACGACAACGTGTTACGTTCGAATTGTTGTTCACAAAGTGGATTTATGGTTGGTTGCAAAAAATACACATAACGTTATGTGTCAAGGTGGGAGCATGCAATTCGTGGGGTAGTTGATAATATAATATTTTTGGGACTAAATTCGCGTTAGGAAGGGAAATGAGACTTTCGCGGTTGATACAATACTACATCTAGTTGTAGCATGGTAGTGCATTTACAGTGCTATCAGCCTTTGGTTACAAATTACAATATGCCTTATGGGCATTACAAAGTTATGGGCAAAATAGTACACAATTGGCCTGCATCGACCGCTATTGGTACATTTCTTCCATTCTAGTCTTGCTAATGCAGAAGCACGGTACTGTCCTTGTTATGGTAACAATAGAGAAGTTCAATATACTGCCGTGCAGCTAGAGTCCTTGTCATGTCACATTATCGTATGACAATACAAAAGGTGTCTCATGTTGTAGAATACTATACAATTGTTGTTGACAGGTACATACTGTCAATAGTGCAAAAAGGTCATAATCATATGAGGAGCAAGAATAATTTTGAATCAGTACTATCGATTTTGTGAACAGGTGCTAGCTTAGTCGGTTGAGCGGTTGGCTTAGCTTGCAAAACATCCTTTCAGTAAATAAGTAATGGACGTGACCGGACTATCAGTTACAGTCTAACAGCGCATTATCTAGGTTCATTCGGGCGAACATGAACCAAGTTCAGCCACTAGGTCGCTGTGCATTGTAAAGCTTCAGCTAGACCTGGAGACCGAAGAGAGTTTTAGGCATAGACCGATGGCAGTTTTTTTACTGAATTTAGCGAGATTGTAAACCCCTGGTGCTGTCCCTGGTGCTGACTATATTTGAGCGTTAACTATTGGGACGTAATCTAGAAGCAGATCCTTCGGCTCTATCCACTTGCCAGACCGTTTCCATTTGCCAAGTTGCGTAAGGTACCAGTGAAAAAAGAGAGAGTCCATCGTGGATTGGGTGGGCTATCTTTTGATCTGTAAACGATTTCCTAACTTCTGTCTCTAACTTCCCCCAGCATGAGTTCTGACAAGGTCGCTCTGGTCACCGGAGGTACCCGCGGGATCGGCTACGGGACAGCCCAGGAGCTGGCCGGCGCAGGATACAACCTCGTCCTGGGGTACAAGGAGAACAACCAGCGGGCTGAAGGCGCCAAGGCCGAGCTGGAGGAGACGTACAAGGTACGCGTGTTCCTGGTGGCAGGAGGGGCGGAGGAAGAGACCACCGTGGACGCCTACTTCGCCTGCGTCGATGAGAACTTTGGCGGGAAGTTGACAGCGTTGGTCCACAACGCCGGCAGTATGTACGGGCCTCAGGGGCTGCCACCAAAGCCAGGTGCTAACGGGAGCTGGTTCGCAGGCTGGGAGGCGTACGAATACTACCAAAACCTCTACTCGAGGTGCTTCCTCCGGCTGGTGGAGAAGGCCGTGACACGCATGGAGGACGACCGCGGATACATCGTCGCCGTGTCCGGAGTCGGCTGTAACAGCAACACGTCCCCAAGCCTGCCTTACTTCACCCCGGGCATGGCCAAATCCAGCATGGAGTACATGGTGAGGAACTACGCCAAGCAGCTGGCGCCCAGGCGGATCACCTGTAACACCGTCATCCCGGGAATGATCGACACAGAAGCCTGGGCACCGGTCAAGGAGAGGCTCGGGAACGACGGGATGGAGGGTATGGTGAACCGGCTGTGCGGGATGAAGCGCTGGGGTACCCCGAGGGAAGTCGGCGGCGTGATCGCGTTCCTCTGCTCGGAGAGGGCGTCCTTCATCACCGGCGTGGCCATACCTGTGGACGGAGCTTTCCATCTCAAGTAGCAAAAATATTCCCCATAACAGGCTCATTGGTCGGTGATTTGATAGTGCCATTTCTTGATGAATTGTTGATTGGTTGTGGGTCAATGCAATGTCGATGCTTAAGTTTTAAAACGTAAACCGAGATGTTGGCAGTAATCAGAAAATGGAACAATAATTTTTAAAACCTTTATTGTGAAGTACAGGCCATAGTGATAAAGTAGATTACAGTCTGTGATATATCAGAAAGTGATAACTCACTGGGTTTATGTGCACTGATATAAACTACAAGTATGTTAACAGGTTCAACTCTTTTTTGACATTTGTCACATATGTATGAAAATCTTTGCTGCAAAGAAATGTGGTTATGTGTGCCTTTTCAATGTGGAGTTTGTGTGAACTAATCTGGTGTTTTGTGATGGCTGTTCCACATGTGTCGAAAGTTTGTGTATTTTATATATTAATAATCAAGCAAAGAAGGGAAAAATCAAGACGCTGACCAGAAAGCCTGGTGTACATGTATATGGAGGCTATGATGACATGACACTCAATGCCAACGATTGACTCTTGATATAAACAGCAATGATATACTTAGTATCATGTTATACATCTTCCCTGAAATAAATTTGTCATGACCATTGATCATGTACAGCTTTTTAAAAAATTCCTCTCAATATGACACTTTGCGTATTTTAACACCTGCTTCTGGCACCGATTACAAGCAACAAAATCCATAACCTTGCTCCACACACAAGAGGCATTAATGATTATTGCACAGTCTTGTATGATTATACTTCCATATGTTCCCAGATATAACCATTGTATACCCTAATGTCTGAACACGAGGTACATGTTCTACTATAATAGTAAATGTAGATATTATTTCAAGCTGCATAGCATTCCCCTTCATGATATACATGTATACACATTTACCTATTACAATGTACCTGCGAAAAGTTGTTCCTCAAATATATAATCTTTCCTTCAATCACTATTAGAAATATTCTTTATGCCAACCCTAACATTTCAATACAATCTCTTGGTTTAAAGAATAATGATTAGTATTAAAAACAATTATTGCTCATTACCTGAGGTAATTACAGAGATATTAATAAGTTAACAAACACCTAATATGTACATGTACTTCATGTAGGTGAACAGTATACATTTGTACATGTATCTAGTCAAGTCTCTCCTGCCCATGCTACCAACTATATTTGTGCATAGATGACTCTAAAGCATTCTAAGCACTACTAAGTGGTCTCCATCATCAGCCTTGCACACTGTCCAATCTTCCTCACAGCATCAGTGAGAGTCTCCAAGTCGTACAGCGCGAAGCACACACGCAGGCAGTTCTCAAACAGTCCCTGAGGCGAACATCTGTACAACAAACAAACAAACAAACAATGAGTTGCGAGAGAAATTACAATTGACTTCATCACTGTGCTTTTAAAATGTTTTTGACTCAATATACATGCACTTTGAGAGGTAAACTTGAGATGTAGGCATTTGCAAATTTCTGACTGATTGAAGAAAAGAGTACTGGAAACACTCACATGCTTCCCACATAGAATGACACATTGTGGTCCATGATGCAGATTTTCTTCAGTTCTGTGCAGCTGAAACCCTGAGGAAACTCCACCCAAATGAAGAAACCACCCTGGATATAGATGAAACAAGATGTAATGAATGCACTACAGATTTCTGTATTTTGTGTAATACCGGTACCTTAGGGTTTATTTTCTTGTCAAGCAAAGAGTGACAACAGTAACCTGCTATTCTTTGCTGTCATAATGCGAGGTACCTTCAGCCTATGAAACAAATTTTAAGATAAGACAGTTTTTCTTACCAAGTACATATAGCTTGAAACGTTATCAGAAATGTAAAAAATTACTAATAGTCCTGTACCTTAGGCAACAGGCAGGAAACCCCTGTCGGCCATTCCTCTATAATGATTTTGTGAACAGCATTCATGTTTCTCTGAAATAAAGCCAACCTCTGTTAATACATGTAACTTCAAATTGAAGTAACAATCAACAAATAAATTAAAAAAAATTCAATGCTTGTCACCATGGTTACTGGTGCTGTAGCAGACACCCCATGGTGTTGGTAGTGGTGCAAGTTGCAGGACAGTTGGACTCGTGGCACCATAATAGGTAAACTGGCATCTACTGTATATAAATGTGAATAAGAATCCCCCCTGAAACTTACTGCATAGATCTCCTGGATCTTGCCCAAGTTCTGCTCAACAAGTCCGAGTTGGAGGGCGCTGGCAATGATCCCTGAGGTGTAGTTATTGAAGGCACCTCCACTGTCACAGTACGAGCTGTCAAAAGACAGAGGTGATTATACGCCAACTGCTCTAGGTACAGAGAACAGAGTAAGCATACTTGTTCTTGTTGCAAAATCTCTCATACATATAGCAAGATACACGCAAGGAAGGCAGTCCAAGTGTGCAGTTTTGTATTGAATTTCAAACTCTTTGTCTTTTGTGATCAACAGATCTTGTAGCTACAAAACAAAGGATGAACCTTCAAGTCACCTGTTCATTATTAAGCTCCGAATCTTCTTCGGTGCCTGTATCCACCCCAGCCTCAGCCCGGGGCTCAGGATTTTGCTGAAGGAGCCGTTTGATACCACGTTACCATGGAATCCAGGGTCTGTCTCTTGGTCAAATGAAATGAGCGCAGGAGGAGGAGTTACAAAGTTTCCCTGGGAGTCCTTCTCATAACACAGGGTGTTATACACGTCATCACACACCACCAGTATGTGGTGCTTCCTGGCCACCTGGACAAGCTGTCTGCAGCGACCTGAAAACAGACCATGGTGAAATTTTTAAAAGTTTAACTCATGCACTATATATAATATATATATTCCAGGTGTGCAGTACACATATGCATGAACCATTAGGAAACTGATAATAACAATCAAGTCAGGGCTTATACTTTTAGACCATTAGAGAATAGATACTAATTAGAGCTCATTTACGTTGGGAGAGACAGCGTCCTGTTGGGTTGTGAAAGGTGGGGATGAGGTACAGCATGGTCCAGAAGGGCCGATCTTCTGTGACACAGACAGTCGGGGATTTCTTGTGCTCTTCCAACAGTCCATCCAGCATGTCCACATTAATGCCTTCTTCATCCATAGGAACTGTATGTATAAAGTTTTTTAAAAAAATCAGGAAGTCATTATACTCATAGAGAAGAAATGGTGCCACACATGCAATTTTTGCAAAATATATGCCTGGCCGAGTGGTTAATACAAACTAACTCACTATTCACTTACATTTGATTGTACATGTAGTTACTTAGTTGTGTTTTTTAATGGAATCATGAATCATAGAATATACAACTATGGTATTTTCTTCAGGTGGTCCTACTGGTACCATACTTAACCTTCTGCAGTGATGAGGAAGCAATACCTGAAATTGTCTTTAATCCCAAGTCTGTCTTCAGTATCTGGAAGCCTATGAAGTAGGTGGGGTCCTCTACAAACACTACATCTCCTCGGTTGAACAACAGGGAAGCCAGCATGAACAGGCCTTGTGTTGCCCCTGCTGTCACCACTAAGGAAGAACTGTGGCAAAGATATCAGCAGCTAGGTTAAATATATAATTCCTCACTTCAAAATGCTACTTGAACATAAAGCCACACCAATTTACTAGTAACTTCTTGGTTCTTTCTTATCGCTCCATTACTTTCCTTTTAATCTTGAATTAGTTTAAAGTAGGATTCCCATGTATAAAAATGTTGAATTTTCATGGAAGCACCTGTCAACTGGATATCTGTAATGCCTGGTGAGGAAAGAGGCCAACTCTTTCCTGTAGGCTATGTCTCCATTCCGTGGGCCATACTGGAACAGGAAGCCTTCCTTCTCTTCACTTTTCTGGGTAAGAGTTACAATATTTTAAAAAGTCAAGAGTGCAAAATCTCCAAGCAGATTCTACAGTGGGAAGGCACTATCAAATCCGATACTTTCTTGCCTCTGTAGCATCTGCTTGGAGATTAAGGTTCAAAATATAAGAAGAAGAAGGGTTTTTGAACATTTTATGATGGATACATTTTGTACTTAAGACAAAATCATATTTTATATTACACAGAAACTTGCCATTCTGTGTTCAGTTGCCACTCTCATGATGCGAGCACACTGTTGGAGGATGGTGTATGCTGGGGCTCCGATCTGCAAGTTTATCCTCCCATTCTCAAACATGTTCTGCTCGTCGTATGCATCCTTTGCATCCACTTTGCACTGGACATCCTCAGTTGGACTGGACATGGTACCGCTACCCCGATCTAGGAAGGAATCTTCCTGGCTTTTACCAGTATTATGTGCCTTCAAGAGAAAGAACATTGAAGAAAAAGTCAAAAGGAGATTACTAGTAGGTATTAAATCACTTCTCAGAAAGCTTCTGGATCGACGCTACAATTTACAAAGATCAACATCTTGACTATAGTATTATGTCTCTTTGATCATACATTACATGTACCTTGTACCCTTCTTATCAAACTTAAAGTTTAATACATGTAGTTAGTCAACATAACTTCTGCATAGAAAAGTTTGCCCATGTTACCTTCAAGTTCTAGTTGATTCCCCCCTTTGCAACAGCTATGTAGTATTAGAGATTAGAAACAGCTAAATGATAGCTGATAATGTAGTCAGGACCAGTTTAACAAGACACACCCCCTCAGGTTATTGATTCCCAACACCTCTGATCACAAAGGATCACCTGTCTCGGTGTGATATCCAGTGTTTCCAAACCACTTAGGGCGACAGAACGATGAGAAAGTCTTAAACACAACTTAAAAACATAGATTCATAACCTTATGGGTGGTGTGCCTAAAGTCGTCTGTTAAACTATTTTTATCTTTGTAATTTTTCGTTTTTGCCATGTTCTTCACCAAAGTAGTCACAAAAGTGTCCATAAGAAGTATGTATTTTGTCGCCTTCTAATTACCTCGAGACAAAGGTCACATTTTGGAATATTCTATTTACGAGATGCGAATGGGGACTACCCTAGTAAAGGCTGTAATTTGGTTTGTACATATTTTCCCAACAAGACTTTGCAAATTTTTACCGTTTTCACTGCTTAATGTAATAAACAGCTTTGACTGTGCCATTTGCATGGTATTGCAAATATCATGTTTCAAATCTGAAAATATATTTCTTCTGAATTCTTCATCCTACCTGCAGAAGATACCATATAGTTTACCCACAATGCATCCCGCAGGAAACTCACATTTCGCAGCCACCATTTTGTCAAGATGAGCATGATGGACTATTCAGCGGTGGCGCCTCCGTCGGCGATGTCGACGCCAGAAACACAAAATGCAGCTTTTGCAGACGCATTACAGAGAGCAAGACAGGTGAAGAAGAGTATTTTCTCAAATTTTGTCGGAAAATTTTTTGTCTGTATCGTAGATGCTTCGAGAAACGCCGTCGTAAAGTGACGGAGTCGACGCGCGCACAGTGGCGGCCGTGACATGACCGCGTGCTAGCAAATAATGCCTTGTTTGTCAAGCACGGATTCACCAGCAAATTCTTAAAACACTTGCCCAAACTAGGAAATTTTGAACCCAATGTTGCAACCTGTTTTTCTATCAAGATATTGTTAAGTCCATACCTCAGAAATCTATCGGTAGATTAAGATTTTAATTAATTTTTAGGGGTAAAAAATGTGGGTACGTTTTGCACATGTCGCCAGCTTCTAGCTTCTGTTCTGCTTCTGCTAGATTTGTGTTGCTTATGATGAGATTTAAACTGATTAATCCATCTCATGTACATCATCTGAAGACTAAAAAATTTGTGTTCACCTATCTCAAATATAATGCCAAAAAATTTGAGAAAAAATGACTCGTTTACGTCGAAAACTTTGACCTAAAATGTGGCCGTTTTTCTGGTGCGAAAATTTTGCGGCGTGGTGAAAAGAAGGCTCCTTTGTTCTCATGAATGGCGTGCTCTCGGCCCTCAAGCGGAAACGCGAAGTTGGCATTTCCCAAACAGTCTGGGGTTAGATCGTAGATGGGGGGGAAATGAACGTAATGAAGGAAATGAAGACGACAGGACACTTGAGAACTTTGATAAATTTTTCCTAAATTTTGCTGAGAGTATGTAAGATTCATGTGCCTTGAGATATGCCCCTGTGCAAACAGATGTTTGCTGTCATAGCCAAAGACTTCCTTCGGCCCTAGTCAGGAAATGCTTGCAAGTTTATCCAGCCAGCTCTTACAGATCTATAACACCCTGTGTCAAATTATGTCTCGGAAATAATTGAGAGGGTTGCAGTTTTCTTATAGGAATAGCTCAGTTCTAAATTATGTACTCTAATTTTCTTGAAGGAAAATCCCAGAAGTGAGGATGAAACCTCTTTATTTCAAGCAAAAATGATTTATTCACTCGAAGAGTGTTGCTGGGTTATGTTTATAGAAACCTTAAGACCATTCTGGTGTTGACTACTATCTAGTTACCTTCGCCAAGAAGGTTATGTTTTCAGTAGCGTTTGTCTGTGTGTGTGTGGGTTTGTGTGTGTGTGTGTGTGTGGTTTAGCAAGATAACTCGAGAAGCAGTGGATGGATTGGAATGAAACTTGGTAGGTGGGTAGGACTTCATGAGACCTAGAAATGATTAGATTTTGGGCCCCCTGGCGGCTTTCCTAGGTACTGCAGCTGAACTTCCGGTTTTGATATCTCATGTTCTGGACATGCTAGGGTCACGAATTTTGGTTGGTAGATAGCTCTTGGGGTAGGAAAGAAGTGACATAAGTTTGGGTCCCCTAGCGCCTTGTTCTGGAACTGCAGGAGCATTTGTTGAAAAAAATGTGAAGGGCGATAACTCAAGAACCGGTTGACGTATTGTCGTGATTTTTGGTATGTAGGTAGTTGAAGTGATGCTTGACATAATCAAATGGCAATTATGCAAATCAGGACTTAATTTGCATAATTAATGAGGAAATTCCATAAATCTGCTTTGTTCGATAATAGAACTATGAAACACTTGTGACATCTACTTGAGAACGAGAAAAACATCTGAGGATATAGATTATGTAAATGAGGACCTAATTTGCATAATTAATGGCAAATTCTTATAATTCCATAGTTGTAACTGCTGCACCCCGAATTTCATACTTGCCACATTTGGAAGTTATAAGTGAAGGTGAACAGCAATAAACATAACTTATTCAAATCATGACCTCATTTGCATAATTTATGAGGAAGTGCTATAATAGCCTTTTTGTTAAGATAAGGCTGTCATTGGGTGGAGAATATGATCAACTGATATAATCCATGCAAATGAAGCTCTTATTTACAAAATCAATGATTAAAATTGTATATTTGTCACCCGCAAGGGTTAACATCATTTGGCGAAGGTATGAGATCGTGGAACTCTTGTTTCACTTGTACTTCATGTTCTCATTATTTCGTCATTTTCATCTTGAAAATTTCTAGCACGTGATTTGCATGTACTTCTTTCTTGAAGGCGAAGGACATGTATAATATCCAAAATTAAAAACAGAAGTCCTTTTGTGGATGCTTAATGGCCTTTGGCAAAAGTAGAAACATCTGGATCTACCAGAATTTGGCAAACAGTAAAAGTTATGTCTGGGGCACAGGGGCAAGCTCACAAGTTGTATGTTAATGAGGAAAACATGTCTTTCATTTCAAAACTTTTGTTTCAAGCTGCCTTTTTGTGCAAGGTAAAAATTACCCTGGTACATGTCTATTTGCAACCAAGAAAGCATCTTAACTTTTAAGTATGTGTTGTGTTGGCTAGAGGGATACAATTGCAGCCCTTTGCGTACCGACGGCTAGACATGTTGGTATGTGGTTCTAAAACATTGCCAATACAAGTGGTACTTGACAACAATGAATTCAGGCTGTCTACTGTAGGAAATTGGCTCTGGAGCCCGTAATTCACGTACATATTAAAGTCAAAGTCGTAATGATTGAGTCCCTGAATCAAAAGTTTATGTTCAGACCAAATATGGGTATTGTCGGATCCCTCTGTTTACTGGCTCAGTTTGCAGTAAATGTTTTTACTTCAAATAAGTTTGGTTTAGGTGGCAGTTTTACAGAATATTGTCTGGAGAAAGCTGCTGGAGAAACTTTGGAATAACTTGTCATGTAAGGACTCCTTCAGTAGTTCTGCTGATTGACTCATTCCTTGGCAGATTACGCCATAGCATTCTGTGGCATGCCCTGCAGTAAATTCAGCTGTCAGTTGACGCTCAGCCCAATCAAGGTTAGCCTGTACAATCTGATTGAGGTTTGTGCACACTCATCAATTTATGCTGAGATATTGGATGGAGGCCCCCTCAGTAGAGGATACAAGTTGTCTTTTTGATTGCATCCATGGATTTTCAATTTATGGCCTTGACATTTGGTACCACCATAGGGAAGAGATTGCAAAAGATTTGATTATGCCGAGATTGAAAATATGCAAATCATGACCTCTGTGATTCCTTGTTTGCGTCCTCTGTTTCAATTTATCAGTATATCCTTGAATCAGCTACTGAAGGTTAGAGATTAAGGCCAGGAAAAAACCTTTGGCCATGCCAAACTGGATGCTGGCATGATTTGGAGTCTATTATTGTATCATCCTGGTTGTCTGGATGTCTTGTGACAACCATTTCCTAGATTCTGGTTTACAAGACTGCGCAGATGTTGTGTCCGGTATGTGACTTTGTCAATACTTTACATGTTGCTCTTCGAAATAATTTTTTTTGTCATTTAAAAGGCTTTTGCCGCATGATTTCTCAGAGGACTGTTTCTTGAGCTTTTAGCTTTCCTTTGAATGCAGTATTGATTTTTTTCTTGGGGGAAAGCCTGCAAGGCCTTATTTGTAAAACAAGTAATAAGGGTTATAAAATATGCATAAGCCCTTACTTGTATAGTCAGAATAAAAGTGCATGTAAGATAACCTGTAATTTTCCCTGGATGATGATATGTGTTGCAGTCAGGCAACCAGTGTAGTGATGCTTGAGGCTATCATGCCGTCTTGCAAGGACAGTAGGAGTAATACTGTTTTTTCTGAGCAAATTTTTCCCTTTGCAAAGTGTTAGGCATTTCATATCACATTTCATGTGATTGTGAACTGTTGTTAGCTTTTAGACATCATAGAACAAGTCGTCATAATGATAACTTCTATGATGCCACCATTTGCTAGCCTAGATGCCAGACTGTTTCCAAGGCCTTCAGCCTCAGGGCCAAGAAGCTGCAGTGTGTAGGCCCTAGAAACACTCTAGCATCCAGGATTACACTTTCAGCTGCCAGAAATGGATCTTGCAAAGCGCTCCCAAGTTTGACGAACTTGATGCCCAAACATGACCTGAAATTTATTTCTGTCCTTAGAAAAGAGTCGGCTTGCAATACAAGAACGCGACAGTGAACCATGGGGCAGTAGTTGGTATTTTTATAGTGAAACTGAATATACTTTGATGTTTGTATTCATAGGATGAACATACCAAAGGCGTACAGCAACACTAGGGAACTAGAGCTGTTTAACTGTCGCTCACACATTTCTGTTACTGTTTTCCCCTTACAAAGAATTTGGCCTCTTGATCTTCCAGTCGGAAGCGTTATCTTGTTTAAACTTAACCCAGCTGCTTATAGCTGTGAGCTGTCACTGTTCTTAAATAAGAGCAGTCTCTGTAGAATGGACCTGCTATGGAAAAGTATAGAATTTTTTCGTACAGTTAAGAATTTTTATAGACGCATTAATGCAGATGTGACAGACTGTTAAATGTTAGAGCATGTCATTTCAGATTGCTGCTAAGATAGGAGGTGACGGCGCAGTCCCCGAAACAGACTCTCGGAAACGAGGGCTGGAAGACGGGCCAGGTGAGCTGAATGGCACACCTGACAACATGTTCCGAGACTACGGAGGTAGAGTTGCGTTCTTATACCCAGGGCTTTTACCTGGTTACCAGGGGTGTTTACTGTGAAGGCCGTGGTGCCAACAAGTGCACACAATGCGCAATGTTACTCTAGTGTCACAACCCACACAATTTTCCCATTGCAAAAGAAAGTAAACGTGATGTCAACAACAACATAGATGATCAAGGAAGGG